ATTATAATCTTATTTCTATTTGATTTATAATAAACAAATACATTACTAACAAAATGAATCCACTTGAGAAAAAGACCGAAGCTGTTCATACTCATTAATCTATTAAACTTCGAGAAGTGTAACTAAATGGTGATTTTAAATGGAAGAATTCTAAGTAACGTGTTAGCTGAAACTGGGAAGTGTATTTTTTTAAGGTGTGAGTTATGCGTCATTAAAAGTGTTCTAAATGAAGTTAATTTTCGTAACATGATAAGGTCAACTGAAGGAATAGCTGAGAGTCAGGTGGTAAACTTAAACATTTTTCATGAGTCCATGACTCTCAACTTGTACTGTGGTGTGTGCTACTGTCTACTGATGTTGACAGATATAAGTAGTATGCATCACCAATCGAAAGTAAAATGCTTAGCAACAGAAGGTTGGGAAAATTGGAGAGAAGAAAACGAGAACAGAGAGTGATGCGTATGGAAACGAAGGAATAACGGAGTCTGAGAAGATTGATGGATATTTTACAAATAAAGCATTTACTGTATGGTTCTCAGATTTTACCAAGATATTCTGTAATGTTGTATAGAAATACATTTGGTTGTTCCCCACTGGTGTTCTCATTGACCACAGTACAGCCAACAGAACATCTTTATGCTACTGATTTTGAATCAAGTGATGCACTTTTCTAACTTTAGCCAATTTTCAATACTACCGATCAGCTTATGCAATAATAATTGTAATAATAGCTTATTTCAATACAATAAATTCTGTTCAAAAATAGAATTCTTAGCACTAATTAAAATCATTTAAAATATACTTCATTTATGCTTTTACAAATTATCTGGTACTCGTACTCAATCACTAAAGTTTTCTTCCAGTTCATTTTCTACAACTTTTTATACTCAGGATCTTGAATTCCGACACTCACTTCTTCAAAGAACAAATTAAAAGAAAAGTATCATAAGAACTGTAGCATTTTGATGTACATTTGTTAGTATTTAGCATCTCAATCATTTTCAGCCCTTTAGTAATGAAGTTGTACATTTACCGTTAGCGTCCATAATTACTCAGTTCACACAGATCTAAAACAAGTAGGTTAGTTGAACTATTTGAAATGTTAGGGAAGTAAGTTTCCTTTTGTTTTGAACAGGCTGCCGTACAGGGTTGGTACAATATATTAAATCAACTGAAAGTACAAAATGCGAAACACTGAATCTAAACTCAATGGTCTTAAGGTTGTGACTGTTCTATTCTCAAATCAGAGTAGATTGGTGTTTGATTGTTACTGGAGAGTTCTAAACCAGCGTGAAACATCTGTCCACGTCTTTCCTGGTTTTTAGTAGTTCTTCAGCCAGAATTTTTGAGAACACTAAAATTTAGGACATCAGTTTACGTTAAAAGTACATATATATTTGATTAAAACAATGTAGTAGTAAATAGAGAGACAGAATGAAATTGGTCAGTTTGTCCATTTTATTTTATGTTTATGAATTTATAAAACGTTTCCATTTCATTATTAAAGGAAAAAAGGAATATCGGAACCAATCAAAAGTTGACTGATAAATTATTCACCTTAAGCTATTGATTATAAAAGCAGTAGTTGATCGAAAGTCTTTATCTAAATTGATGATAACTAATTTCTCAGCATATCTTTATGTCAATATTTGAACTTAACAAACAAGAGGCTGGTTATGACATAGTTAATGATATTTAAAAATTAATTATTGACTAAATAATTCAAAAATGAAGATGAATAAGGGTTACTATGGTAAGCAAACGCCGGAATTAATGAAAAATATGTTGGAGCTGACCATTATAGAAAATTAATAAAGCTGTATACAATGGATTTATATACATACATCAGACAGTAGACTGAATTACGTGTAAAACAATCCAGAATGCTTAATCTAGGTTACTTCAGTTTCCAGTACAGTAGTTATGGAGTAAATGATTGTTTTTATTTTTCCTTTCCCTATGGTATAATTATTGATCCAGAGAAATTTAACAATACGCTTGTCTAATTATCGCTATATAAACTTATTAGTTTATGTGGTGATATCGAAAATAGTAAATTATTTCTTTATATTTAATTATACTTGTAAGTGAATAAATGAAACAGATAACGGATATATTCGTGAGACAAGATAGACCAAGAAGCTATAGGATGTTAAGTTCACCATGGTCGGTAGGTGACCAGCAAGTAACTGAAGTGAAACGGTGGCCGGAAAATTATGTATAGAAATCTAATGTTCAACAAACAGATGGTTCAATATGATGAATTCGTTCCTTTTTAAGTTCAAGCACGTTATTACGACTAGTGTTTTTATTATTTGAAAGACTGTAAATATTTTGGTAATTTTGTTAACATAAGAGCTTGAATGCTATCATGAACTTAAATCTTTACAGCCCTCGTCGAAACGTTTTCTCTAAGTTACAACACTTCTGTTTTATCAGTTGGTTATTTTTATGATCAGTTGGTCATTTTTATGATTTTCGCAAGAAAGTAAACATTCCATTTGAAACTACCGCTTTGACAATATTATTTTTTACAGCTTAGCATACAACCATTGATACCAAATAAACGGTCTACTATTATTAAACACATGGTCAATCTGTACATCAACTGGACTATAGAATAAGTTGAAACATTTACCATTGTGTAATGCATAACTATATCATTGAATATTGACAGTATAAATTTTCGTAATGTTCAGAAATATACTGATCGGATGTAATTCTCATTTTGCTGATAATTCGTTCATTTAAAGCGTTATTGATTATTATTATTATTATTATTATTATTATTATTATTATTATTGTTATTATTATTGTACTTGAACTTTTATTCACGTACTTTCACATTTATCAACTACAAATTATGGTCACAAGACCTTATATAATTGATTTTGAAGCATGAAGTAATGGGGAATGCTACCCTTGATAAACATCCTGGGTACATATTTCAATGTATATTATTATTTAATATTGCATACCCTCCAGTAATCATTAATAGTTAAATCATATTAGACCGTCGCATAACTTTTTACTGTAAATCATCAAAATTGTCTATGGTGAAATCCAGAACTGACTACAGAAATTATATTTGAAAGTGACGATGAGGTTATTAGCTTGATGACAATTGGAACTAATTGAACCAGAAATCATTCTCATATTCAGTTAACCTTTAATGATGGGCAAAGTAGAAAAAACGTAATAAAGAATGAGTCACTTTTAGTGTGATGGATGTGACCTATAAACGGTAATTTTTGTAATTTCTATTTAAATCAAATACAAATCCTTTCATTAATTGTATAATTATAACTTTTACAGAGGTTTATCAGTTATATTCATAATCTGAAAGGAGGTAAAGTATTTACAAGTCTGATATTAAGGTGAGATAATAAAATGGATAGTTCCTAGGCTTACAAAATAATTAATACACAACCAGTACTGTGTATTTAATAAGCTTTTCAAAGGTTGTTTCAAGATCAGGTATTTTCACAAGATAGGTATATTTACATGTCATATGGTTGAAAATTATCGATAGGGAGCTGTAGGCACATTAAGTGCACTCGTTAATTAGTGGGACCCATCTACAGTCTTTATGGAGTTGAAATTCTCCGTGGAATTTGAATACTCGTCACACAGTGTCACAGTTAGAGACATTAACACTAAGTGATTTGAGTTGTGACTGAAATTCTTCAGAATCGAAATATGTATACTGGCTAATCACTGAAAAGTAATGACAGTTATAATTTATCTTGATCTTAGTGTTGATTAAACTCCACCTATCAAATCATACAATTTAGATGCCTGTATGTTGTAGATATGTCTTGCTAGAAATTGTTAACTAGAATGAAATTTAAATAGCACGTTTAATGCCAATTTCCTTCAATCATATAACACAAAAACATACTGTAGACATGGTATCCAGCTAGTTAGACTAGTGGTTTTTATTGAAAATTTACCGAAAGAATTCAATCAACTCTAAGGATTTCAACAAACATGACATAAGTTACTATTCCATAATCGATTAGTGTATCATTATCATTCACCTAGATAACTATTTCAGATTTTTTAAAATGACATTTAACTAGAAATAGCTCAAAATACTGGTGAATATACATTTTTAGTTTTGTTTTAATTCGTCGACAAATGAAGAAATAATAGATGACGTTTTTTAAAGAATGATTAAGTAAGTGAATACAACTGGAACAATAAAGGTTAGAAAAATGACTAAAGGTTAAATCTATCATCAGTATATTGTAGGTCATACAAGTCAGTTAATCTGAAACTGATTGCAAGTTATTCTAAGTCGTTTTAAGTAAACCAGAACAGTAGTTGAAGAGTTTATGGATAAATGCATTATATTATTTTCACTAAGCTAAATCCTGTACTGTTTGGTAGAAGTAAAACAAAGTGATTAATTTACAGGAATATGAATTGTTAATTTCCTGACTGTTACATTCTTACTTTTTGATTTACACGATACTTCTGAAGTTTGCAATCACAATACTATGTTATCTTCCAAAACGTTTATAACCTTTCATATTAACCAGTTGGAATCTACTTTTAAATAGATGAGTATATTCACTAATAATGTAGTGGACGCTATTCACAAGATTGTTTGTTATTAGTATACAGCGGGATGTGTCATCCAAGTTACAACAATTGTCAGACCGAGTAAAATTTTCAGTACATAGAAAGCACGGCGGTGGCAAGACACTGGGAAACCAGACGAGAAGACGGTTCAGATGGTAGAACACACCGAAAAATGTAAATGGATGATTGAAGGCTATATATATTTATTATGTAAATACTTTGTAACTTTTCACGTAAAGTACACATTCCTTCTGCCTATTGACCTCTCACAATAGGATGCGTTGAGATAAGAATTTACTGCTTAAAATTTTTTCTGATTGAGACGTAGTTTTTGATAGACAATGAATAAAGGATGTTAAATATAAAACGTTATTAAACACAATAGTTATTAATTAACTAAATATTTAACTAACCCGACAATCTGAATGACCACAAATAATGATGTCGTTGATTCTACATCGTATTAAAGTCAACTCTAAAAATCCAGGTGTAACACAGTTTTCATTAAAATGTTCCAGTGAAGATTTTTCACAACAAATGAAATTTCCTGGATTTCTTTCGATAAATAATTCACCAACATTTGAACATAAAAGTTTTGATGTTAAAACACGTGAATCGACACATGAGACGACAGCAGCTAATATCTGAAAATTAGGACACATAAAGGAATTACGTGGAGACAACATTTTCATACGTTATTAGAAATGTGTAAACGGTTATTATCTTTTGATTACTCACACTGACAATGTAACTAGGTTAGTAGTGGTATTGTCGCTAAACGGATAATGAACACAGAAACGTATGAAACCGGTCAAAAACTACCATTGGTTTTTGTTTTATCGTGTTTGTACTGTTAAAAATATACTACTGGTATCAAAGTCTTTCAACTGACCTTTCTGATATATTAGGGTTTGAAGGAATATCCTCTTTCAATTATTTAGTTTTGATTAGATAGTTATGATAAGTAAACCTGTTCGTCACACTAACGTACAACCAAGAAGTAAAGCCGATGCCTTTCGGTTATAAAAATAGGGTGATTGAAAAAGCAGTGGAAAAATAAAAAGCGTAGGACAAACGTTTTGTCACATGATAAGCCTATGGTAATGCTGACCACTGACTCTATTTTTATAATAAACTAATTTATTATCATATATACCAGAACTTGTGGAAAAATGCTATATCGAGACAAGGCGTTCAGGAAACACACATTGTAATAGAGACTAGTTAATTATAGCCTTGAATAATAAGAACTGGAAATTATAAACTTTTTCTCCTACTTCCTTGCTTGTTAAACAACTGAGTGGCTATTCTGACACAGTATATCCTCCTGTAGCTCTTTTAAGTTTATTTCTATTCGCAAGCCCGGGTAAAGGAAGAGGGTTGTTCATAGGGTCAGCAACCTCATCCCGCATAAAACAACCTTGCAAAAGAACGTTAACTAGAATAAACAATTTAAATCATTTAAACTCTGCCCTGGGAGTTGGAGGATTTCCTTTCAGAATAATTATGACGACTCATAGTGAAAGCCGAGATTCTCCGGATGTCACAAGGTCAATGCCTCTTCTAACAATCAGAGCAACAATCAATATAAGTACATAAAATGTCCGGACAATGTAGGGGGCCGGGAGGAATTATTAAATAGCTATGAAAATGAAAAGATCCAACATGGCGGTTCTCGGAATAAGTCAAACCCATCGGACCCAAGCTGGACAGAAAAGGTTATATTTGGGAAAGATGCTGCTATACTCTGGTCACGAATAAGAAAATACTCTATACACTTAGGCAGTTGCTCCGGTGCTGTTGAAAGAAGCATTTAAAGCACTTATAGGATGGAATTCCATGGATTTGGGATCATCAAAGCATCCTTCAAAACAAAGAAGGAGGGAATTACAATGAAGGTTATCTAGTGTTATGCACCCACCAGTGTTAGTAATGAAGATTATAAAGATTAGTTGTAAGAGAGGCTGCAACGGATCGTAAAGAAGTGCCCAGGAAAAAATGTGACCATCTTGATGGGAGCTCTAAACGCCAACGTTGGAATGGATGACACCGAATGTCAAGATATCATTGAATGTTATGAACTGACTGAAAGAAAGGAACGAGAATGGTGAGAAATTTGCGAATTTCTGTGCACTCAACAAAACGGTTATATACGGCACAATATTCCCGCACAAACACATGCACAAAGCTACATGGGTTTCACTGGATCGCACCACAGGGAATCAGACCGATCATAATTGCATCACTAAACAATTCACAGGGTCAAGACGTAAAAACCCGAAAAGGAGCTGACTTAGCTAGCTTCAGATCACCACTAACTGGCGGTTGTCAAGATGAAACTGAAGGTAAAAGTGCACTAGGCGACTGAAAAAAACAGCATTACAAAGGTTCAACAAGGCCTCCCTTCGACATACAGACAAACGTAACCAATTTGAGATAACTCTCGACAACAGGTTCCAAGCCTTACGGGATCGATTCAAAGAATAAGAAACTACTATGGAAGACAACTGGAAAAGGATCAAAGAAGCACTAACTTCAACGTATCAGGAGGTTCTAGGCCGCAAGAATTACCATCATAAGGAATGGATCTCTGTCGAATCTCTAGAAAAGATTTAGGAAAGCAAGAACAAGAAGGTAGCAATAAATGAAAAACCTAGCAGTGACAGCGGAAAAAGTTACAAGTGAAGGAAACATAAAACAACTACACGATATAACGAAGAAACTAGCAGGAAAATATGGTAAAACAAAGCGATCAGTCAAATACAAGATGACGCGAGCCAATCGAGAACAGAGAAACAGGTGGGTAGAGCAGTTTGGAGAATTCTTGAATAGACAAGCCCCACTCAACCCAACGGATATCGAAGCAGCACACACAGACCTTCCTATAGATGTCACTCCACCAACGACCGAAGAAATCATCATAGCCATCAGACAAATCAAGAGTAGTTAAGCAGAATGACCTGACAACATACCAGATGAAATACTTAAGTCAGGAATAAAAGTAGCTGTAAAGATGCTCCACGTCCAATACAGGAAGATTTGAAAAGAAAATCCAGTGCCAACACACTGAAAAAAATCACACTTCATCAAGTTACCAAACAAAGGCGATCTGAGCAATTGTGAGAACTACAAACGAACCACACTACTATCGGTAACAGGAAACGTTTTCAACAGAGGTTTGTTGAACTGAATGAAAGATTCAGTAGACAACCAACTACGAGATCAACAGGACAGATTCCATTACAATCGGTCGTACATAAACCAAACTGCCTCAATACGATCAATGTTGAAAATTCTATGGGATGGAACTCATCACTAAACTTTAACTTTCTTGACTACGAGAAAGTACTTGACAGAGTGGGCAGGAGAACCTTATGAAAAATTCTTCGACACTATTATATACCTGAGAAAATTGTCAACATCATGCGGAATTCACATGACGGACTACAGTGCAACATCGTGCATGGAAGACAGCTGATAGATGCATTTCAATTGAGTACTGGAGTCAAACAAGGTTTCATACTCGCCCCTCCACATCTGAAGGGTAGCACGAATTATAGTTGACAACTTGGATGCAGCTAGACGATTTTGACTTTGCAGGTGACCTGGCACTTCTATTCTATACACACGAACAAATTCAGGTCGAGACAGCTAGTGTAGCAGAAGCCTCTGCATCAGTAGGTCTCCACATTCACAAGGGAAAAGGCAAGATCCTCAAACACAAAACAGAGAACACCAACCCAATCACACTTGATAGAAAAGCCCTGGGAAAGTTGGAAACTTTCACATACCTGGGCAGCAGCATCGATGAACATGGAGGATCTGAAGAAGATGTAAAGGTACGGATTGGCAAAGCAAGGGCAGCATTCCTACAACTGAAGAACATATGGGACTCAAAACAACTGTCAGACAATATCAAAGTCAGAATCTTCAACACAAATTTCAATACAATTCTAATGTACGGAACTGAGACTTTGAAAACTACTACAATCATTATCATCATCAAAAGGGTACAAGTATTTATAAACAGTTGTCTACACAAGATACTCAATGTCCGTTCCTGGATGTAATCAGCAACAACCTATTGTGAGAGAGGACTAACTAGCTCCCAGCTGAAGAGGAAACTAGGAAAAGACATTGGAGGTGGATAGGACATAAATTGAGGAAATCACCAAATGGCATCACGAGGCAAGCGCGAACTTGGAATCCTGAAGTAAAGAAGAAAATAGGGAGAGTAAAAAACACATTGCATCTTGAATTGGAAACAGACATCAGTAGGACGAATAGCAACTGGGAACAACTGGAAAGGATTGCCCAGGACGGAGTTCAGTGGAAATTCCTGGTAGGCGATCTGTGGTCCTACGCGAAGGGAGACAGTCACAAATGAGTAGGTTATCTTTGGCGATAACTTTTTGATGTTTAAAACAATAGATATTCTATTCAGATCCCAGTATAAACATCAAAACTCGGATGTAAATTCATCCAGCTGATGAATCTCAGATAGGGCGAAATTTGCTTTCTGAATGTCACTATGTAAGCCGTATACCAAGCATAATAGATTATTATTAATTAAAGGAGAATACTAAGATTGATTTATCAGAAGATTTAAAAAATATAATTGGTAAATTAGCTTACATTTGGCTTTTCATTGAAGGCTTTAAGCTGATCTAAAAAAGACTGTTTGCTAACATGAGACTTCAAAATTCTTAATAAAATTTGATTCATTCAATGATGAAATCGAAGAACTGATTTTTATCTACAAAAAACACCAAAAAAGAAAACAAAAAAATTATCGAATTCTCCTTGAATGAAATTCAACCGTTTAATTAGTTAACTGTAAATTGAACATATGAAGGTAAATATATGTGTATACATATACATATATATTCTTGTTTCCAATAAAACTGAAAAACTCATATCAGAGTGAAAGTAGTTGAGAAAATTTAAACACAGGATAATAAACCATCAGATCAACGCAAGGGATTCAGTTCAGATCTTAGAAGGAGTTCAAGATATGCATAAATGAAATTGGAGAAAGCAAAAGTTGTGTAGTATATTTCCGATTTTTAGTGATTTTATACATAAAATAAACTTCTACTTAGTCAATTACGAGTAATCAATTCTCTGAGCACGAATTCAATGTAAAATACGTTCAACTTCAGATCGGTTATCGTCTAATGTCGATTGTTGATGCTTGTCACTCACCTGTATTGAGCGGACTCTATTGCTAAAAATTTACTGATAGGATTTTGTGGATGATTCTCAAGGTTAGTCATCAGTGGGCACGTTGATATTTAACTGGACGAAGTTTAGATATTAGTCAAATTTAAGTGTGGTTCATCTTAAGGTTCCTCAAATTGATATAAGCGCATCAAGATAATTATTCTTTTAACTGAGATCGATTTTATCGTAGAACTCTTTGTTTACCACTTACATGCTGCTTAGATAAACTATAGGTAATAATGGCTCTTTATCATGAGATTATTGGAAGTGACGTCAAAAAATCGCCAGTAGATTTATTCGTACAATATATGTTATCTGTAGAAGAGTAGATATGTCCAATCTAAATTTCTATTTTTTTAATAATTATAATAAGAATAAGCATATAAAAGTTGGGTAAGGAAAATCTATGGATAATCAACTAAGTCAAACATATGAACAATCGTTTTGTAGTATTTATTTGGAAAGTTTCAGAAACCTTCTGTTGGGATGCACTGAAATAAGCTGTTAGCGCCAACAGGATTTAGTTGACACTGACATGCGTAAAATCTATTCTATTCAATTAAGCGCTGATTCCAGTTTTGAAGGTATAGACTGCAAATAATCTTACTGAACTTTGATTCTTCGTGATCTTAAACAAGGCAAGAACTACCATAACTCCTGATGTCGTTCTGTTTTTTTTACGTTTTAAACTGTTCATTAATGTCTAGAAGGTAAATTGCCTGATTTTTTAACTGAAAACCTTTTAACTATGCACAAAACTTGGTTCCCACAAATATTTGAATAAAAAATATTGTTGATCAATGAGAATATTTATTTCAAACAGTTTAACGCTCGACTAACTTACTTGGACTAAATAGGTAAACAAGTAAGGTTATACATTTGTACTCTACAATTGAAAAGTATTAGCTATTCACAATAACAGATCATAAGGTAAAGATTACTTTCAATCGAACACCTACTTCTGAATCTCATATCAGGAAAGGACTAAGTAATGATCGAAAAATGGTTAAAGTAATTTAAACATAAGTTGGTAACATGAATGCAATTATTTAGAAACTTACGAACATTATTTAATAGGAATCAGCTAAAATATGAGGTTCTCATAAGATCGTTTAATATTGTTTTTATTTTTAATAGCTACCTGTGTTTTCCTGAGATGAACGATTTTATTTTACAATTTTTACAGTAAACAGCTAGATAATAGTAGTAAATGTACAGAATAATAAGTTGAATGAAGATACAATTAATATACGATTATTTTACCAGAAATTCAAATCTACGAGTTATTAAACTTAATATAAAAATATTAGGGTCAGTCACTGTGAAAATTATGACGGTAGGCATGAAAGATATTTAGATTTTTAATGATATATGGGCTAAAAGCTGTGTGTACTAGTAAGGATTTTTGTTATATTTTGTTTTAGCCAAATGTAATGATCTCTCTTGAGGATGTACGGAATTGAAATTTGCATTTGATGTGAAACCAAAAGCAAAAAAGTAGACGTTCTACCAAACGACAGCTAAAATTTAGCTATAGTCGTAAATATTGATTCAGGGATTGATAAAGAATCACTGAAATAACATCAAATACAACAATGAAAGATAGTTTTAATTCTGTTTATCAATATATATTTCGTTCAAAAAATGTTGAAAAATCGACAGTAATTTGAACATATATTATGGAATTTAGTTATAATAAAAAAATTTATTTTATTGTCTTTTCTAGGCCAGGTACAATTAAGCACTGATGATAGTATTCAGAACGGTGATGAAAGCTTCACAAGAAGACTACCCAATTCAAAGAAAATAGCATCTACCTGAGTTACAAATCTTCATCATATCAGTAAAAAGTTAAAGGCTTAAACAATACTGTACACACATCGTTGCACTTCGACTGCAAACTCAAATTTCTATTTATTATGTATGCCTTCCTCCAAGCTTTGAAATAAGGTATTTTTGAAAAGTGTCGCTCGATGTTGCAGCAAATGTTTTTTGGATCCATTGTGTTAAAAGCAGATAATGATAGATGAAGATCATTCATGATTAGTGATTAATACGTCCGTAATAAAGAATTGTTAAGAAGCTTGTAGAAGTGCGGACCAACAACGAAATAGGCCAAGTAAAGGCGAAATTAGTTATAAACATGCTTTTAAACTTTATTTAACAAAAAAATGTTTGGCAAATTTGTATGATATAAAGTAATAAACAGTTTAACGAGCTTAGACTTTATTTGTATTTCGTAAAGAGAGCCTTACACATCATGTTTGATTCATCACGATATTTTGGTCCCTCATAAATATATGAATGAATTAAAGAATGTTCAATTCGCAACCTTTGGTGCTTAGGTTTCACTAGAAAAACTTCGTTCATGTTCTAAATAATGTGAATTTTCAACCAATATAAACACAGCATTGCTTTTGGACAATCAAAGATAAACTGGCTTAAACAATAGTTTACATTTAGCAGTTAAGTAGATATCAACAAGTCTAATCTTATATCACTAGCTATGTTACGTGTTAATTTTAAATTTTTTAGTAAGCTGTGTAGTTCTTCAAAAAATCGATTTATGATTGCCATATATTGAGATTTGTCCACGAAGAAGTTTATTTAGACTAACCAATAGGTTTTGTACATGCACGTAAATAAACATTTGAATATTAGTACTAATGTATTTCAGAATAGTTGGTTAACCTACTGAATATTTAAGAACGAAATCACTAACAGAATACTTGCTTTACTAGACGAACAGCATATTTTTTAATGTGCCGTAACCTAAATTAATTTTTGGAGCCATCAAATGCAGATAATATTTGATAAATATCTTCACAGTATTCGAGGTTAATTTGAATATAAAAGTTATAAAAACAATCTAATTCACAAAAACACGAAATATTATCTGACATTTTGTATCTAATCCTATATTTAAACGTCATTATTAACCTTTGATTTGTTTGCGGTTACTAGGACAACCACTGTAAGGATGATAAACTGATTCGATTCTGCCTTCAAACTACCATCCAAATCAATGTTTTTGAGAAAATACCATCACTTTATTTGATTTTCTACTTTTCGAAGGTAGAACGTATGAACATTAGTACATGCATTTAATAAACCTCCCCATCTATCCATAATGCTAATTCCAGATATTTTACTAGAGACGTCAAATAAGTCGTAAGGGTTTGAAATTTGACACAAAAATAAATGTTGAAAGCATATTTGATAGAATATTTATACATTACAGATCCACATATTACTTAAACTCATTAAAAAGATATTCAATAATTGTAACTGAAAACTAGCTTTTAGATGAAGTCTTTTAAATGACAAATTAATCACACAACCTTACCAAGAACTCTTTCTAGGGAGAAAATGTACATATTTTTATGTCACTTGGTGTAAAACATTTTTATAAAATTAAGTACTGAGAGATCAAGGTAGACGTGACAGAACCTATCAATTCCAAATAGTTACATAAATTAATCCTCAAAACGACGAAACGATAACTTTTGAAACCTATTTTGCCTCACAATTAAGGATGTTTTCTTGATGTAATCATGCACCAAACATTGACAATTCATTTTTTATTTGTATGGCATTCGTTTCCTGAAACAGAAGACTAGTGAAAGCAGACGATAATCTGCTTATTGTTTTCAGCTGAGATAGGCACCCCAAGGTCGTATGATCAAATACTTACAACGTAGCAGAGATCTTATAGCCAGGAATTATTGACAAGCTTCTGTACATAATTCTAATACAGTAACACGAACTCGGAATGGAAATTTCAGTAGAGCACAGATATGTGCTTTCCAAAATTTGATAAGAAACAAATGTAGCAACTTCGCTGATATGAGGACTAACCTTAAAGTTCGAAAATGTTGCGTCGCAGCTTCTTTGTCAGTGACATCATATAACAGCATATTTTTATTCTTTATATACAAAGTAACTTATAGGCCCTAATAATAAGCAAATTAATTGATGGTCAATGGATAATTTGTGTGCGTCAAAAACTGAAGTAAATGAATAATGTGGGTTACAAATATGAAGGAAATCATTGAGTATCGTGAAGTGCTGACAAACACAAAATATAAACAACACAATTCTTGAGAATGATGAAAACATATTGGTATTCTTCATTCCTTCTAAAGAGCATGTTCCCGATCTTAAAAGACATGAAAACGTGATGAAAGTATTTAATTTTAAAATTGGAGGAGATCGAAGAAGTTAAGTGTTGAGACATAATGATGAGCCAATTGGTATAGTATTTGATGAGCATGATCATATTACGTTTTGACATTATTTATGGGATGGCGATCAATGTTAACGGGTCACGTTTACCTACTTATAAATATTTCACATTAACCAAGATGATTTCAAGATGGTTGAAGTAACAATTTATATGTGGGAACATAAGACGTACCGTCAACGTTTTGAAAAGCTTCAAAGTCGGTTAAATGAACTCTCATTTAAATTAACAACGTAAAACAAACTAAGCGTAAACTAGC